AGTCCCAACTCCTTCACATACACCTGGCCCAGGGAAAGGTATTCTCCCTCCCTCTCTCTCTCCTCCCCAGAGGCAGGGAGTTGTCTCCGAGCTCTCTCTTTTGGCTCCTGTATTGGGAGTTCACCTTTGGTAGGGATCTCTCTCTTTATCTGGGTGGCAGATAACTTGACTGCACAGAGGGGGTCAACTCTGGATTCCCTGTGCAAACAATACTGTATTAAAAAAGCCATTGGCTGGTAATTTTGTGTGTGTTCCCCTGCTATTATTTTGTGTTCAGATACACATTCCCTGCCCAGCTCATTCTTCTTCTTGTTTGTCCTGTGGTAATGCTTAGGAGTTCAGTTATGGAGCAGTGACTGTGCTAGGTGCTGTACATTCACAGAACAAAGCGTCTCTGCCTCAACAACCTTACAGCCCACTCTTCTGTCCGAGCCTGCAGTGGGCAATCAGAATGCTGTGCCTGTGGCAGCACCATCCGCAGCCAAACAATGTTTGTGGTGTGACACATGCAGCATGGTGACATCATTTACATCAGAAGATGAGCTACAAGTGAATAAACCCTGGCTGAAAACACAAATAGCTTCTAGTGTCAGAGGGGTAGCCGTGTTAGTCTGAATCTGTAAAAAGCAACAGAGGGTCCTGTGGCACCTTTGAGACTAACAGAAGTACTGGGAGCATAAGCTTTCGTGGGTAAGAACCTCACTTCTTCAGATGCAAGTCAGCAAATAGCTTCTGTAAGCAGAGGGGGAAATGTGGCAAAAAACCCAACAAAAACACCCCAGAGTCAGATTTATCACTAGAACTGTGGGAGGGTTTTTCCTTGCCCTGGTCATGTGCTATGTACCTGCAGTTTTGCAGGCAATGTGGGAGGTTGGCAGGTTTCAAACCACGAGCGTCATCTCTTTGCTCCATTGTGTGCCTTACCTCTGTCAAGTTTTCTGAACCATGTTTAGCCACTTTTCTGTGCTTCCTCTGATGCTACAATAAAAGCTGCTTTGAAAGTACTAAAGTAGAGGGGTATGTGTAAGGAAACACAGACTATGGTCTGTGCAAGTTGGAGAGGTGATGCAACAGGAAAGATGAGCGCTCACTACCTCACAGTCATGAAATCTCTGGAATAGTCAAAGCTGAAGCAGTGACAGAATTTTGAAGATTTTTGTTGCCTCTCTGAGCACTCCGGCTGCCTTGGCTCAATCGCTGCAGCTGCATGTGCCGCCTTCAGGATTTACAGCAAGCACCTGTCAGCAGAAGCAGTGGTACCCAGCCATTGCTATGCCTGCTTGTTGCCTAAGGGCAGAGTTCCCTACATTACTCTGGGCCCCAGCAGAAAGCCATGCAGGACATTTGCAGTGAAACTGTCTTAAGTTAAAGAGAGAAAGGGGGAACTGAAGACCATCCAGAAACCACGCCACACATGAATAAACTTGTAATAGTTTGCCTCTTTGGTGGCTGTTGGGAGTTTGTTGCTCTCAGAGTCCTGCCACACATGAAGAAAACAACGTAGGGGAAAGCCCTGAGTGTTCTGCAATTCTGCAGCTGTGGCATTTGCTGAGGCTTCAGGCCTTGCTTCAGAACTGTGATCCTGAGTCAATGACCACATACATGGGCTGTTAGCTAAGGCTGTAGAGCAGACTCATTAATCTCTCTCTCTCTAAGTGGTCTCGGTGCCACTACCCGGGACAGAACACCCCACCACGAAGGTGTGTGGGTTACATAAAATAAGGGTTGTGAAGCCTTACAAACAAGAACCAAGCATAACTGACGCACACCATCTTCCAGGCTCTGCAGAGAGCCTGACACATTGGCTCTTAGTGGTGCTACCTGCCTCGTTCATCTCGCTGAAAACTGTTACCTTTTCAATATAGTGCTAATGATGGCAGTTCAATTATTAACAATTGTTTTAGCAGTAACATCGAGCTAATGAGACCAATTTGCAGTTCCACCAAGGAGCAGCATAAAGGGGCTTTAAAAGGTCTGGAAATGGGCCCCAGGAAATTCTTAAGGGGGCTTCCCTGCTGTGGTACAGCTGCTGGAGCTCTCCCAGCCGCCTGGACCAGGGGGGCTTGGCAGGGGAAGAGGAGTATGGCCAGAGTCCTTAATTCAGAGCTGCCCCCTACCCAGCTGTTAAAACCTTTCGTTTCCCCGACGCCATCTATGACTCACTTATGTGTTGCTGATACAGGAATCTGACATATACTGGAAAATGTGGGAGCAGCATAAAATAAATTGAATTTAATATAAAAAGTAACATGGAGCTACTGCACTGACTATTTTTTACATTGAATTCCACGGCACATCCATTGTAAATCTAAATGGAATCGCCACAGAGTCCTCAGCCTGCCGAGCAAGAGTGTGGGAGAAGTTAGGTCCAGTTTGCCATGGAGTACATGGGCCTGGCCTGTAGGAATGGATAAAATGACAGATGGTCCAGAGAGGTTAAAAAGTGTGGCCCCCCCAAAGCAAGGTTTGAGAAAGTCCGTGAGCGGAAGAAGGAAGCGTGCTAACTTGCAGCCCACTGTACTGTTTCTTGCGGATCTTTGCAGGGATGCAGAATAGCAGGGCACAGATCTCCAATCACTCCCTGCCCCTGCCTTATCTAGTCTGCCCACACCACACCTCTGCCTGGCCCAGCCTGCTCTGGGGCTCCTGCTGGCAGAGCTAGCTCAGCACCTGCACATAGGAGTTTCCTGTGGTGGGAACACTGCCTGTGGGGAGGCCTACCTGCTCTGTACCCTCTCACAGCTGCCTAGCTGAGGTAAAAGGGCCACAGTAAAATGATTAACTGGGCCATTGGGGTCAAATTCAGAGCTGATGTAAGTTGGGTACTACTGCAAATCCTCCAGTGGTATCACAGTCACTGACTCCAGGTTTGGATTTGATCCTCCAGGTCTCACTTTACCCTATCTATAAAAATGGGCATTATTATTTATTATCTGTATTACTGGACCAGAACCCCTTTGTGCTAGGTGCTGTACAAACACAGAGATGGGAGGACAGTTCCCACACTACCTAAGGCTATCATTGCCGACAGATGGGATTTGAAAAGCCAAAGCAAAGAAAGGGTGTCTGTTCTCCTTTAAGCCAAAGCAGGCAGGGCTGCAAGGAGATGCATTCCAGGAACGGCTGCTCCCTGCCAGGCTCTGGGTTTTCCTTCCCGTTACACACTAAGGAGGAATGTGCAGAGCTGCTTGCCGGCCCACCGCTGCCTGGGGGGCTGCAGCTAACTTCGAAATGCCGTGCAAAGAGGCCAGAGGTTTTCATAGCCATCTAAGGTAAGGCTGGCTCCCGCTAGGCCGGCCCACCCCCCTGCAGTACCAAGATGGGACAGGGAAAGGTGAAAGCCTGACTGCCTTATATGGAGAAACTTGCATACTTGAGGCGATGTGGGAAAATGACATCATGCAGCTAGATGAGGAGGGAAAAGGGGGTCCCGCTGGAGTCCCCTTAAAGAGGCATCAGCCTATTGGTACAAGTTTCACAAGGCTCCTTCTCTCTCCCTCGGAACTGTAATTGTTGGCACAGTGCCAGTCAGTCACACACATTCAGGGACTCAACTCTCTCCTAATTTACATGGGTGCAGCTCCTGTTGACTGCAATCACAGTGGCACCTGAGTAACTGAGGGCAGAACTGGGCCCCGGCTTGTACCTTTGGTTTTTCTCCCCCCCTCACTCTTCCCCAGCCAGCTTCTAACTTTAGAGTGGGTTTGTGCTTGCTGTTCTAGACAATGAGTTGAATGCATGGTGAAAGGTATCAGGGGAAAGGTATGAATGGTA